CGGACCCCGGGACAGCGCAGGGGCGTATTGAGGAAAATGTGCCCGCCTCGAATGATTTACGTTAATAATAAATAACAATTATGTCTATGAAGCGTGCGGAAATTTAATTTTCTTCCTCGAAGACAACTGACAATACGACAAGTCTTCAAGAAACAAATTGAAGTTGAATGGAACTGAGAAAATTTTGTTTATTAAGTCCATCAAAATTCAATTATTACAACGCTATACAGGGTCATCAAAATATTGGGGAAATCTAGAAAAGCCTCTTGTTGTTGGTTGTTTAACAAAATAATTTTGTTAAACTTATTTTGGGCATTATTAAACTTAATTCTCTTAACAGATTCAAATTTATCAGTTATATTTTGATATTTGAATATTCGTTTGTGCATTTTGCGAATCTTTCTTCTTAAAACATTTTTTTTCTATATGCCCTGTATATTTACAAAAATGACAAACTTTATTCCGATGTCTGCATATTGGCTTGAGGTGACCGTCTAACCCACAACAAATACATTTTGTTACATTTTTTTCTCGATTTTTGTAGGTGTTTGTACTGGCAATAAACTTTGTTTGTACACCTGTGGGGCCTGGTATATTGGGTTGAAAATTGACTGCATGATGGTACTTATTTTTAAGATAGGCTGCTAGTAAGTTAGGATCTTTAATACCTGTAGCTTCCACTACTAATCTAATATTATTGTCATTTATCCTTCCAATTATTAAAGACACTTTGTCACTGTCTCAAAAGTACTCTCGGTAACGGTAGGTCCTATGCGATCGCCGTTGGTACAGAAATGATCACCGTCGAAAAAAAATTTTTTTTGTCTGTCCGTTCTCCGTTCTCTGTTCTCGCCTTTTGGTTTTTCTCGAATAACTTTCGAACCTCCTTTTTAACCCTCCACGAGGCACATAAGCCTATAAGAAGTGGCCCTGATCCGACGCCGGTATCCATCTTTTAAGTGTCCGAAATTTGAAGTAATGGACTTCATATTTGGCACATATATGCAGCTTTGCCCCGTAACGGAATCTATTGAAAATGGGGGAGCTGAGGGATTGGGAAGTATTTTAAAAAAATTAAAAATCGTCTACAAAAAACATCATTTTTCAAAAACCGTTTACAAGGCCGGAAGACGCAGAGGCAACGACTCCATAAACATTTATTCTGGACAATTTTTCAAAAATATACAGGGTGCGTTACAAATTCAAAAAAAAATGAAAAATGGGTCCTTCTGTTAGTGAAAATTGGTTATAACTGAAAGACCTCACTTTCTTTTATATACAGCAAAAACTTTTGCATTTAAGGTTTTTACCTATTGTACAGGGTGTTCCCGATATTCCGTGCTAAATGAGAAATGTGTTGTTAAGTGCAGATATCAACTTCAAATTTAGCAGAGTAAAAGTAAGTAAAAGTCCATCTTCACATTTAAACCGTAGAAATTGGGTGCAATCAAATTTTACCAAGTATTTTTTAATATTTTTCGATTTTTTTTTAAATTATTTTAATACATAATCCTTCGCATTTCCTTAATATACTGATGGTTTACCTAACGATATAGAATTGTTTGAAAATGTTTAAGTTGTACTTAGCGTCGTTGAAGCAAACATAATTTTGGCGTAAAATATTAAAAATCAAATTTAATTTTGAAATTTGCTTGAATTTAAACAACGTTCTGACAAATTGATTTGATTAAAAAAAAAATCTTAAGGCCGTGTTTTGGTATTTGTGCGTAACTTTTAATTCTAAACAACTTCCTCGATAGCATTTCTCTATTCTATTGACCACAATTCTATTTTAGTAACGGAATTACCAAAAAACAAATCCAATATGTGGCAGAATTGAGTGACTACACTGTATGGTTTTTGAAAAAGTGGAAAAAGTCAATTAAAAATATATAAACCGCAAATATTTCTCAAATTACAATTCGAAAAAAAAAATTTCAAAAATAAGACCACTATTTTTTATTAATGTACTTCAATATATAAATTTATATTATTCTAACTTAACCTAAATTAACTATACTGAGTTTAACAATACGATTTAAAGGATTATTAGGATTTTCTACGTCTCGTCAACATGTTTTTTTATGAAATCTACAACACTAGCACTTAAAATGGGAGAAGAATCTAAGAAAATCATTAAAACAGTCGAAAAATAAAGTCATCAAAAAGTTTCGTTAAATGGAAAGCAAATGAAAAGTGTATAAAATAAAATGTATTAAATAAATGTAATATATTAACCCTTTGCACTCGCATATATCTCCTTTCGCGAGTACACTATACTCGGACTATTAATTTATCTACTTATCTGTGTACTCGGATTTTTTTATATTGTTTTTTTCTAATAAAAAAAATCGCTTTATAAAAACCATGTTTTTTTTTAATTTTATTATTATTATGATAATCACTACCATTATTATTAAATAAATTCATACGCAATATAAAAAATTACATCCTATAATGTTCTAGTGTACGGTACCGTTCGAAGCAGTCGTGTTATCTTCCGCAAATGAACATTTAGTTTTAACAGTTCTTCTGTAAGTGGCAAGCCCGTATAGTATCTATCGGTGTAAGAACGATATCCTCTTCATCCTGGGTTATTGTCTATCAATTTTTTACACAGATGTAACACAGGTACACAGGTACATCAGGTCTCACTAAATCTTCTGATGTCAAGCTTCCTTAGTACGGCAAAATTGAATAAACTTATCCGGTGTTAGCATCCGTCATTACCTACATAAATTCGTATTCCCCATTTCGTAGGCTTGTTAGGATTGTAAGTTAAAACACTAATTTTGCCCTTAAATCCAACAACAGATTCGTCTACCTATATCTCTCTTGATGGAACAAATTGTTCTTTGAATTACTTGTCCAAATAATCTATATAATGACTGACTTTCGAGCCCTAAGAGAGATGGTTTTAGTGCAAGTGGGGCATAAAAAAAAGTTTGTAAAAATCATTCTCCTCTAAATATGCCAGTAAAAAAAATGTATTTCGGCGTTAGAATGTTGTGACCAAAAATCTTGGAAATTAAATAAGATTATCGTACACATATTTAGGACAACCCGAATAAATGCGGTAAACTATGTACTGTAATATCTACCCACCTTTTGACAACTTCTATTTTTATTATTAGCTCATCAGTAAAAAAGGAATATCTGGTCCTACCATTTTATTCCCAGAAGTAAATAAAATCCTGTCTGGTTTTCTTCACTGCTGCTTGAACTTTATGGTAAAGAATCTCTGTCTTTTAGTAACTATAATATCACTAACTAGAGGCTCTAATATTATCACTATCCAATCTATCATTTTCAATGTAAATTTAATCATCACTACTTTACAATTCATTTTCAATTTCATCTTGTACAAATTTCTTGGGTGTTTGAAATTTTTCCTATCGAAATATACACGGAACTTTAACCCAATCGTGTTAGTTATAAAACTGAGTAATATTCAAAATGCAAAAGTGGTGGACATGTGAACTGAAGTGGTTGGAATATATACATCAACAGATATAAAATAAACAAATAAATAAACGAAGATTCAAGAAAGCAATTTAGAAATATTAGAAATGAGCTTAGGGGGTGAAAGACGGGCCAACCTGCTGTAATGATAAGACAGACGGCATACGAGTGCAAAGGTTTAAACATGTAAAAATATACCAAATAAATTAAATGAAATATATTAAATATTAATTAAACATAAATATTTTAAAAAATATGTATTAAATATTAAATATATTAAAATTATCTAGGTATCACAAATGTTAAAAAAAATTAATATTAGAAATCGTACAAAAATATATCCAAATATATCAAACGAATTGAATTTTCCGACAAATTAAAATCCTAATACGTCCCTGTCCTCGGGAATTGGTCCAATAAGTAAATAGCGCCCCGCCCGGTTTCACGCTCGGTTCGGGTGTCAAAAAACGGGCGCTAATCCGTTTCGAAAATAAAAACGATCGAGATGATGAGACGGCGATAAAAATGTTTATAGGATCTTCTTCTCGCCCTTCCAATTGCCGCAGATAAATAATAACATTTTACGATCCTGGACATTAACACCACTTTACAAAATTGGCCGCGGGGTTCGTTAAACCCAGGGAGAAATGGGTTTTATGCGTTCGCCAGTAGCGAGAGAGAAACCGTATATACAGGGCGTCCATAAAAGTAAAAAAAGTAAAAAAAAAATAAAAAAATGTATTAACCATTCATGGAAATTGGACGAAACAAGAGATAAGTTAGCAGACATTTGACACATAAAGTAATAATACAGGACGTTGTTTGATCGAGAAGCTATGTATAGGGTGGCTCAAATTCGACACTCATTATTGATGCTGATTCTCAGCAAGAACAATCTGCTGGATAAGTTTCTGCAAAGTTCATCAATTGGACGTGTCCAGGGAAGAGTGCGAACAACAACAAGTCCAAAAAGAGAGAGTGATATAAGAAGGTTTTCTTGCTGAAAGATATATCAATATCAATTTTTGTTACTTGAGCATTCGGCGGAGAAATAGGAAGATCGTATATGGAAATGATGAACAAGAGGCCCGAGAACAGACTTCTGGGGAAAACACTTGTTCGGCCATTCTATTCTATCTACAGAATTGCATTGCAAGTGCAGCGGAAATTAACTCTGGGTGCATAATACAGTTAGTGATATTGTCAAAAAGTTATTAACCATAAAAAGTGGTTTTTGCAATGACAAGGATAATAACAATGGAACTAAAATGGTTAATATCATTGGTCACCCTTTTTATGAATAGGGATGAATTACTTTTGATATCTTTACCATATTTGTTCAAGATTCCGCCAGGAAATCGAATTGGAGCCTAATTAGTCTGCAATTTGTTGTGGAAACTTGGTCCACAAGTAGAAAAGAACATTAGTAATAAGTGCGCTCAATTTAAAATTAATCGGTAAACTAGAAAAAAATATTTTTTTACACCTTATAATTCCATTATTCCAGTATGAGTCCTTAATTTGTATATTAGATATACCTTATATCCCAAGATCGGTCCTGTCATTGGGGCAAATTTTCGAAGAAAACGGCAAGGAATTGTCCATTATCTGAAACAAAGAAAAAAATCCAACGGTATATTTAGCTGTGGGTAACGCGTGCCATTGGCGAGGATGCAGAGAAAAAATAATAATGTATTCCTGTGGTCTCAGGGTGTCTCTTAAACTTATGAATTAAATTTTGAAGTGGTGGGTGGCTGATGGTTAATTTATATTTTTAATTTATCTATGTTAATCAATAACGATGGCGTCAGACAACGAAAACATTAGAGTCGACTTTTATGTAAAGAAAATATTCACCCGAATAAATATCAACGGCATACTATTTTTTTTAAAATACGGGATACATTTCGAGGACGGACGCCGCTGGTTGAAATGGAAACCAATGAATCGCTTCACAGATAACACAATAAAAATTGTTACCTGAGAACTTTCATCGCCCTGTATTGAGAAATATTAGCAAGTTTTTTTATTTTTAAATGGGACGCCTTATATGCTTTCTGTTGTGGCGAACGATCTTTTTCTCCTGATTTGATAAATATATAGATTGTTGATATTTGAATATGCCGTTCTTGAATTATTTAGGTTTACATTTTTTATTCACTAAATAGATGTTTTTTGTGCTTTACTTTAAACCTAAAGCTGCAACACTATAAAAAGTATAACTTATGAATATGATAAATAACGTTGCAAGATATTTTTTTTAAATTTTTCCATGAGTAACATTTAGGTATAGTTCGTGCTAAAATGTTACTTCGAACTTACTGCTGGTTGTTTGCGAGACGTCGAACCACTCAGAATTTTTCAAAAAGCAGTAGGTTATTGTTTTTTTTTTAACGTTGACTTTTGTCATAGATATGATTTTTCTTTATATTACTAAGCTATTAAAAGCCTTTCAGAAAGGCAAATTTGAAATAATATAAATTCATTCAACTGATTTACTTGAAGTAAATTATAAAATAAAACGTGTACATGCTAACGATATTCGAAGTTGTCCTGGAAATATTTGCAACGATTTTAATGTACAGAAAACCTTTTCAAAGGAATATTCGTCACGAAGTGCTCCTCCGGATAATAATCCCTTATCACCTTTGCCCAACGTTAATGTTATTAATAAATAGCCACATTCTGCGCCAATAAAAACCCCGATTTTGTCTACAGTAACAGAAGTTGAACAATTAAGTAAAGAAGTATCAAGCGCTAATAATCTCATTCTCCATTCAACCAGGTACTCTCAAGTTCGGCACTAATACTCGACCAGGTGAGATTATTAAACCTGCTCTGAAACTAACCTTGTAAAAGTAGAGTAAGTTTTATTTTTAGTAAGAGGAAAAATTATAGTGTACTTTTCTAAACCTTGTTCTATGCTAGTCTATTTTAAGGTTAGGACCACAGAGATTCGCACCATTCATCTTTCATATAATGTCATGTGATGTTCCCGCTTTATTTCGGAGTGTCTAGTGTAGTTATTTAAAATTATGTTAAATACATAAGAAGTTTCGTCGTAAGGGATAAATACCTAAAAAAATAAAAACGAAAACGGGAAGTTTTAGATTTTCCGCCATATTTTCGTAAGTAACAAAAATAACTTCAATTTCAAAACGGAACATTATTGAACTCGCCGAAGCGCAACTTTGCCCTAATTTAAGTCACCCTGTATCTCTTACCGTTACCGAGATGTTTGCTACTTGTGAGAGTCGAATAATTGTTCCTTTTTTTTTAAATATCTTGCTATATACTTTTATGTGCGTACGTTTTTCACAAATTGCTGTGTAATACTTTGGGTGTCCAATGGGCGTTTTCCAGAATTAAAAGAAAAACAACTACTTGTATAAAAAAATATTTACAAGTATAATAAATGGCCACCTTATTCGTTTTAACATCGTCAAACTAATGGGTGTTTTTTTTTTCGATGTATAGAACTTTAAGTTGGCATTACTGTTCAAGATGGCGACCGATTTAACATCTGTCAAGTGATTTATTCTCAGTTTGGTTCTGTGCGGAATACGTATCGCGCACTACGTCCATTTTATCGTCGACAAAATCGTCCATCAGAGCAGTTAATTCAATTAACCATGGAACGTTTTCGCACCACGTTTACTCTTATTGATAACTCGCATCCCCAGAGATGCCGTACGGTGCATACAGAAGAAGCTATGGCTGCTGTAGAGCGTAGCATTGAAGAAGACCCGAATGAGTCCATCCGCCATCGAGCACAGGAATTGGATCTGTGTCCATACACTTTATGGAAGATTTTGCGGAAGGATCTTGGTTTACGTGCTTACAAATTCCAACTCGTGCAAGAATTGAAGCCAAACGACCATCAAGTAAGGCGTAGATTCGTCGAATGGGCCAAAAACGAGATTGCCGTTGTTCCCGATTTTCATAAGCGAATTTTGTTTAGCGATGAAGCGCACTTCTGGTTGAATGGCCACGTAAACAAACAAAACTGCCGCATTTGGAGCGAAGCTAATCCTCAAGTGTATGTCGAAACACCGTTACATCCAGAAAAACTGACTGTTTGGTGCGCTTTATGGGCTAGTGGAATCATTGGTCCGTACTTCTTCAAAAACGATGATGGCCAGAACGTTACAGTCAATGGTGATTGGTGTAGGGCTATGATTGCTAACTCTTTCATTCCTGAATTGAATAACAATGATGTCCAGGAGATGTGGTTTCAACAAGACGGCGCAACATGTCACACAGCTCGTGCCACAATCGATTTATTGAAAGAGACTTTTGGTGACCGCCTAATTTCACATTTTGGACCCGTGAATTGGCCTCCAAAATCTTGTGATTTAACACCGCTAGACTACTTTCTGTGGGGTTATGTAAAGTCATTGGTATATGCGGATAAGCCACAAACGCTTGATAATTTGGAAGATAACATTCGCCTTGTTATTGCCGATATACGGCCACAAATGTTGAAAAAAGTCATCGAAAATTGGACTTCCATATTGGAATACATCCGCGCCAGCCGTGGCGGTCATATGCCAGAAATCATATTTAAAATGTAATGCCACAAGATTATCTTTCGGATAAATAAAATTCATGTCAATCGAATCGTTGTGTTATTGCAACTTAAAGTTCTATACATCAAGAAAAAACACCCCTTACTTAAAAGAAGATGGAGAAAACCTTTTTTTTTTTTTTAAATATCTTGGTATATACTTTTATTTGAGTACGTTTTTCACAAACTTCTCTGTAATATATTGAGTGTTCAATGGGCGTTTCCCAGCATTAAAAGAAAAACAATTGCATGCTACAGAAAAATAATTACAAGTAAAATAAATAGGCACCATATCTGAAACTACTTAAAAGCGAACGAAGAAAACCTTAAATCTTTTTTTAAATATCTTAGTATATACTTTTACTTGACTACGTTTTTCACAAACTTCTACGTGATATTTTGGTTGTTCAAAGGCCGTTTGCTTGCATGCTACAGAAAAATAATTACAAGTAATATAAATAGGCACCATATCCGTTTTAACATCGCGAAAGTACTTAAAAGCAAATCTCGAAGGGAACCTTAAAGGCATATAGATTATTTTTATAGAAAGAAACTAGGCCTGTGTACAATTATCACACAATTTAAATCGGTCGGCTTCTTTGACGGAGCAACGAGCGAAACATGCCGGAGCTATCCGGGCAAAAAGTAACGCCACATTGTATTCTCACCGTCGCAACTCAAACAAACACCTCAGACGCGGTAGCGAGACGTTGAAGTAATTTCGCGGGCACTGTTTGCTTTTGGTAAACGATTTTGTTGTCTCATTATACACCGCTTCGCGTTTTTCATACCAAAGAAGACCTTCTCGTTTAGTCTGAGATCTTCGAAGCGGTTTCCGGTATTTTTTTTTTTAAAAATTAAAAAATACGCGTACCTAATTATAACGGCTTCAAATTTGTTCGTTTCTGCATCGTAGCGTTTCGCGTTATAAATTTTGCAGGATATTGTTATTTCAACACGTACTTAGTTTTCGACTCGTTTATTTTAATAATATACACGCGGTATTGCAATTAAAGTCGAAACTTTAAATATTCCGTGTTTTATCTAAGTTTTAACAGCAACCTTAATACAAAAAAAAAACAAACAAACGTATAAATTTTAATTAATTTCGGTCGTAATAGTTTCAGGCAGTTAGAAAACACCAAAACGATAAAGTTTACTTATTATTGAAAGTAGGAAAACGTTTCTTCCAAAGAAAATCATTATTGACGGTTTAAAAATGTATTTTGATATTTGTACACATTTTTATAATATCTACAGTAATGTTTACCTTATATATAATAAAAAAGCACACATACAGATATGAATGGTATATTATGCAAGAGTTTGATAAACGCCACTTTAGTTACCAGTTTAAATAAAGTTTTATTTATCTTGCAAGGTAAAGCAGGGAAGTTATACTAGTTAATACTATAATTTTTACAATCTCTACAATATTAAAAGAGACATAAACATATAAATTTTAATTTATTAATTTTGATCGAAATATTATGTTATGATGATCGTTTTTTGTCCGATAAAGTTTTCTTTGTATCGTAAGAAAAAGTCGCAATTGCTTTAAAATATAGTATGAAATAAAAGAGGTATTGAAATTTCATAAATATATTGTGATATTTGTATCAATTTTTATCATATTTGTTATTATGTCTACATCATGTATAATACAAAAAAAAAACACATAAACATATAAATTTAAATTAATTTCAATGGTGATGGTACAATATGTAACAAGTTTTATAAATGCTACTTTAGTCGCGAGTTTGATTTTGCAGGCAGTCTGAACGCCTTTTTTACTCAAATACAGTTTTGTTTATTCAAATTTCAAAAATGTATATTGCTGTTTGTAATAATTTTTATAATATCTCCTATTATGTTTATATTATGTATTAACGGAATTATGTTAAAAACAAATTATTACCTGCTTATTACAAAAGAACGTTACTTATAAAAGATTTCTTTAACATTTTAAAAAGAAAAAATTTATATTTTCTAAGAAACCTGTTACATAAATATTGCATATGTGTGAAACTAAAAAATAGGACTTTCTAGTCTAATGATAGCGTTAACAGAAAAAAGGACTTTCCTTACAATTTATAATGATGGCCACTTTGTTTTAAATCTATAACTTGTTATCTTGTTTAAATTGTAATTTTAAACATTTAAAATAATATTTTGCGATGCTTTTTTAATTTTCTATTAATTATAATTTGGATGGTTTCCTATTCAATATAAATACAGACAATACTTATGTTTTAATAAGGATACGTAATAAAAATTATCATGCACATGTTAGTTTCAAGTCTTGACTTGACTTTAAAAAATAGACCATATTTTTTATAAAACGAGTGTATTTTCTATATAATACAAATTCAGTAAAATTTGGTCCTGAAGCTTAATTAGATAAATTACAAGCCGTTTGTTTGTTGTTGTGATGACGCCTCGTCTATCTTGGCAACGCACCAATCGTGCACCTACTTCACCACGCCATGGGAAAGTATACAATATTAACGACATAATACCGTCCAAGTTGGATTGAATATTCAAATTGAAATTCTTGTGGCACTCGAGCTGAAGCACACACTACTGACAAAGGTCGACAGACAAGTGGTGCTTATTGAAAGTCATCTTGTAAGAAAAACATTTGACATTCGTAAACAGTAATTATTCAGAGTCCCGTTGTTGGAAAATTGGTCAGCACCACTTTGTAGTCGCGTACAATTTTAATTGGTTTAAAACGTCTCGAAGGTACGTGTCAGAACGACGACACGTTTTCAAATTTTGAAAAAGGCAATTGCACAAGCGGAAAACTTGTTTAAAGATTCATTTGATCAACATTTGATAAAGACACGGTGTTGTCGAGACAATTGTCATGTCATAATCTATAATTTCGTGAAAACCTGAACTTTTATTATACCCTCAATAAGCTCAATATCAAAAAGATATTACTTCCATGCCTCCTATATATCTCATATGAGTTGTAAAACTAAACTAATTTTAATTATAAAAAAATCAAAGAATAAACATTAAAAATAACACTATTCAGAGTATATAGAAATAAAATTCAATCCCTTCGACACATTTTAAGAAATATGCAGAACTTGTAAAACATATTGTAAATATTTTTGAAAAGATTGTTTTGACAACAATTTTCAAAAAGTTCGCCACTCGTACCCTCATGTAACTGTAATTCTTTTCGTACATTTTATTTATTTCTAGCTTCTTTTTCGGTTTATCCTAGTTTGAATGAAAATCACTACGTTTATTCGTTTTCTTCAATTCTCCACTATTAATAATATTCCTTATCGACGATATTGGCCTTTTTGTAAGAAGACAGGTTTCGTTTAAAGTTTCTTATTGAATAAGTCCTCTACTGATTAAAGTTTCATACACATGTTTCACAACTTGTTTTGCAAACGCACAGTAAAAACACCGCCACAAATGGTCAACGCTCAAGAAATACATCAGAAAGAAAGAAATATACCTAGTACACTCAGTAAGAATAAATTTTTTATCCAATAACAATAGGTAATAATAATAATAATAATAAATAGCATTTATTATAACAAAAAAAAACAATATACAATATTAATATTTTTTAAAACAAAGTAAACAGATAGCTCAGTCTAGCTTTAAATAACTACTCCACTGAACCGCTAAAGGACTATTTATATAATTAATATATTGCGCATTATTTATTGAAATAAAAAATGGATGAACCACAAATAAAACATGAAAAATACCTGCAAAATCGGAAGAACAACATAACTCTACTACACACTACAGAAAATGCAATTGAAGATAAAGAATTTGATAACTCAATATAATCCTTTGCTAATAACATAATTAGTAACACATTTTTAGGAAAACTGTATTAGTAACAAATGATATTTGTACCTTTGTTAAATGCATACAAATTTACTGAATTCCTGTGACAAAGAATTATAAACACGAATTGTGTTGAATGTGAAAGATCTACGAAACAAGGCACTCTGATGATGTGGCATCGTTAGTCTGTACCTGTATCTTAAATTCACAGAATGGATACTATTTCTAGGAGTAAGCCGCTCCCTCAGCAAAGTGGGTGAATCGAGGTTATGGATAATTTTCATAACGAACATGTTGAAATGAAGAGCTCTTCTTTGTTCCATTTTAAGCCAATTAAGTTCACGATATGCAGCAGATACATGGTCATATTTTCGAAGACCCATAATAAAACGAACACAAGCATTCTGCAACCTTTGAATGCGGCACTTACACTCGTTATCAAGAAAAAAACCGTACACTGCATCACAGTAGTTAAAATGTGAGAGAACAAGTGACTCACATAATTGTTTCTTTAGTCTAAAATTTAAAATATGCCTGTTACTATATAAAGACATAGTAAAACAACAATCCATTATGGTGGCAGTTCTACAGCTTCTGTGGCAACATTGTTTTTAATTTCACACCTAAGAAAGTATTATTTAAGGTAGAACATAGAATTCTTTCATATCTATGTTGCACTAAAATCTAGTTCTTCAAAAGGAGTTTTTTTTTCAATTTGGTTTAGTGAAAATAAGTTCTATAGTAAATTCTGTAAATTCTGTAAAAGGAGTTGCATGAGGATCTATAACTTCTAATTGAATGTACCCACAATAAAGTTATTTATTGTTCTATTATTATTATTATTATTATTATTATTTTTAAATTTTACGTAAAAAGGATCTCCTCGCATTATTGTTTCAAATGCGTTTTTAGATTTTAATCAAATTTCCCAGCATTTGATTTTAGGAAACCCGAGACTAGACGGTTTTGGCGTAACGACAAGTAGCGTAAAACATTCCATTGTATTTATTTACGACGGCCATTGCGAATTAGTTTGCCTCATAGGCGTACGAGCGTCGATGATAATTGGAATTAAAGAGGATTAATGAATTATATTGCCGATAAATCTATTAGGCGATTTGCATGCTTTGAGACCTCGGCAATAATAAAATTTGCATGGCACGCAAGCGTACCAACTTATTTATCGCGTTGAAAAATTTACGATTATCAAGAGTTAATTATTAGTGTTGGCAATTTGCGAAACCCGTTGATTTGCCGTTTCGCACGACGCGTTATCCGAAAACGAATTACTGTTTGTGTTTCTTTATAATTTTAAATTTAAAATAGTTATGTGTCCAACATGACGCTAATCAAAACACGGGGTTAATCCCACTCCTGGTCCATGGTCCAATGGTCAAAAAAGATTTTCTTAGCCATATGTCTTACCATTTAATTAGGAACTAATAATAATAATCTTCTTAGATATTTTTACTAATAGAAAATCCGTTGTAACATTGCAGAAAACTTACACACACATCATCATCTGGCCTAAAAATCATCGGTTATCAACTCTCTTGTTTACAGAGTCGTAAAACTATCTCAACCTGTCTTACGTGTCGCTGTGGTCCTTTTTTACATTCAAAACGTCACTGAAAAATTAGATAAAAAGCATCAAATTAATGATTGGCTCGGATGTTGGGAAACGAATTAGAAGAACCCAAGCACAGTTATGTTCGGTAAGGCGTAGTGCTAGTAAAACTTGCTTGCATATACACTACAGACTTTATTTGCCTTTATATTGTTGAAAAAGTGGATTTTTTTCAACCTGCAGAAGTCTTACTGAATATAGAAACGTCATTAGAAATAAAACAGCAATCAGTATTTCACTAGTTAGACAAGTGCAAGTACATTATATTAGTAAAGCAGCTCAGATAGAACCAATACGGAACATAGAAATTGTTTCAACATAATATTTTTAATGCAATGCGAAAAAAAAATAGACATTAGATGTAACTTGGAGTTACAGTAATAGCAATGGACAAGTGGAAGATACCAGGTAAGGACATTTAAATTTTAACCAAATCAAACGAGTCTTACTGGACAATGCACTTAAGACATTTTTGTAACTTATACTAAACTTTTTTGCAACAACTTCAAGACAGAGAGACATCGACATAGATATTTTAAAGTTCATAATTATTATATAAAAATAATAATTAATATTTATTACGAGCTTTAACTGATTCAAATTATTTAAAAAAGTTCTTTATCAAATCTGTATCTGACAGTTGGTCAGAAATGCTTTTTCCGGTGTTTTTAAATTCATTATGGCAATTAAATTTTTTCTATATTTACTATTTACAAAACTTCTGGATTAATCCTGCGTCGGTTGTTGTTGAGTCGAAATTGCTAACGTTTCGCCAATCATCCTGTTGGGTTCTTCAGAGTTTAACTAAAAATCAGGAGGAATCCAGAAATGCTGTAAATAGTTATACAGTACCCTGTGGAAGTTTCTTTGAAAAATTAATGTTTTATATATGCTTTTTTTATAACACTGGATCACTTTGTTAGTAAAGTTTGTGAATTTGACTTTATTTCTTATTTTTTGAGAAACTTACTAATTTTTGTTATCCAACAGACCATAAGCATCCAGGAGAATGTTCATATTCTCATTAAGAACAGACACTTTCTCATCAATAGAGTTAAGCTATACGAGAGCTACCTTATATAATAAAAAACTATTAGCTACCAACAAAAATGACTTTACTGTTTCTCAAAATATATACCCTGATGATCAATACACTTTTGCATTCGATAAAACCAATCATCAAAGCACTTTCCCAACATCGATTCGGACACCTCTAAAACATGCTTTTTAAACGCATCAATCGCTTCTTCCGGTGTCAAATTCATTGCCCACATAATTTATTCTTAATGTATGGGAATAAAAAGAAGTCATTGGGTGCTAAATCAGGACTATAAGGTGTATTCATCATCAAATCAAGGTTTTTAATGCTCAAAAAGTTCTTTGTTTGCACAGATCGGAGGGTGTGGAGAGTGATTCTTCTTCGGCGGTCGGTTTTTCTAATTTCTTCGAAGACTTTCGGCAAACAAATGGTTGTGTACCATTCAGATTTGACTGTTTTACTATTTGCCAAAGAAATAGTTGCAACGTGGCCAGTTTTCCTGAAAAAACAGTCTGCCATTTGTTTCGCAACTTTTGTGGGCTTTGTCTTATTCCGAAAGACCCACACAGTTGACTGCTGCTTACTTTCATAGATATGCATAGATCCATGATTCATCACCTGTCACGTGTTTGGAAGCACCGCGTTCGTATTTTTTAGCATTTCCTTCGACCAATCAACACAAGCCTGTTTTTGAGCTGATGCTGGCCACATGCTGGTCCCCCTAATGCCCAAAGACACATGACGATCCTGCAAAATCAGTTTCCGCACTGCATCGATGTTTTCTTTTTTGTCCCAGTGGTGCGTTAATGCACCACTTATTCTATGATTTTTTTTTGTCACATCCAGGAGATATTTTTACACATCCATTTAGAAATTTTATTATTATCACTACTAAAGGACATAAAACCGTAGAAATCGCTAATTTATGTGTAAAGGACAGATCTTATATATGACTTCAAAAGTTAACAAAAGCGGTATATAAATTTGTATCACATTTTCAAGTAAATCCAAAATAGTAAAAAAAAATATTTTGGATTTGTATTGCCATTTTCGTTAAGTACTGAATGCACCACTATTCTTGTCTGTGAAACCAAACTTTGTTATTGCAAGTCTAGACAAGTCATCGCATGTAGAATAATCATCCAACAATTAGCGTGTTCTTTAGTATTAGTTTGTGCCTTGTGCAGTGAACGTTTCAGTTAGTAAAATATGGCATTTCTCCGAGGTATTTGACTCAAAAGGAATTAGAGGCGGCTGAACAAGAGATCGTGAAGTATTGTATTGTAGTATTTCATTCCTTGTAAATTTATGCTGAAAATAACGTGAAAAAATATTTACAGAATATATTGACGTGGATACCTTGACTGACGAAGAAGATATGAACGATAACATAAATCTTCAAGAGTTTGGGGAACCAACTGATATAATTGGAACTTTCGAGTTACATACACAGCTGTTCTTCAGCAGTCCTGTAATTCATCAACAATTGAACCTGAATGGGACTCATCAGATGATGAAACTCTGGAATTCAAAAAAATACGTATGCTTTCTGCAAACGACCGGCTTGCTTCTACTGTCAAATGGAAGAGAGGTCAGATTGAGTACACTCACACATCTATAACCGATGAATTTAGATCATGTGAGGAACTAAAAAATAGGCTTTCTGGAAAAACTCCGCTTGAAATATTTTTTGATTTTAAATCTTACATTGCTTTGCGACTTTTAAAAACTGATAAAACAATTACTCAAAGCAATCTTGCACCTGCCATAGATTAAGTGTGTTATGATAATCAAGGTCACCTCATGATTGTTCATGCTACTAAAGCCCGAAGGAGATGTAGAATCTGCCACAGCCACAGTTTAAGAAAATCCCGAAATATAAAAGGCAGTATCAATTTTAGGGAATTATCCAAAAAAATTATATCTTTGTGCCTAAAATTTCTGTACGTAGTTGACTCCACTCTCCTCCACTGTGTCTCTCTAGTCGGTCCATCGATGATCTACTCTAACTCCAACGAATCTAAGAGATCTAAGATTGAGCAGACTCTATACTCACTTTTTATGCCTCCAGTTAACACTATGTAGACCAAAATTTGTTTAAATATGTTTATATTTTATTGCGTACTGGGGAGGCTATCGCAGGTGCAGCACTCTTGACCTATTTTCTAGGCGACGAATGTAAAAAAAAATCTCCACGTGTATCGAACCGTAAACCGTATCGTTATATGAATTGAGCCGATCGAATGCGATTAGCGACATAACAATTGACACTAATCCTTCGTGCGACAGGCAATGTTTTTGTAACTTGTCGTCCGCGTCGGGTCTCGTTATTAATAATTAATATGAGCGCGGCATGTTTCGGATGCCGCCGCGTAAAAGTTCCGCGTGTAGATTTCCGAACGCACAAGTAGCGTCGGAGACATCGACGATCGATCAGACGAGATAATCATCGCCTTTTACAATGCCGTCGTAGCAGGAGTGTATTTGCTCTCAGACTCGTTATCAACTCGACGGTTTCGCATTTGCCAGATGACTCGTTGTTAACTTGAATCGAGAATTGAGTTGTTTGCTCGATTTAACACAAAATAATAAATACAGTGAAACTTCGAACTACCTATCTCAAAATATTCTCAAAATCGATTTTTATTTATAGTTGTGTAATTCCTCTCCTATATGTAGCCATATATCCCTAAAACTCGAATTAATAACAAAAAGCATAATTAGAATGTTTCTGGGAAGCAGCTTCACCTAAAACTTATAAGATGTCATCAGTTATAGATAGCAATGGTGGTGATAGTTGTCAAAGGATTTATAGTGATATTAGTGGGGACTAAAATGGAATCAAAACGATATGTAAAGTGTTTAACACTTAAGGAAAAATTAAAATTAATTGCTGAGGTAGAAAAGGGCAAAAAAAGAATATAGCACAACAATTTGAGATTCATCCTACCAGGTTAAAAACAAGATTGCTTTCGAAAAATCATCGGTTGGCGGGGCAAGTTCGTAGCAGACCAGATTTTTAATTTAAAAAGAAGCCAATTAGGGTTTTTTTTCCTTGAGGGACGCATTGTTTTTCTATCGTGCACCCTGTATAAAGTGCTTTTCACATCTCGTCGAACTTCAAACTTACGGCAAATTTTGTGAAATATTAAAATCTGTACTGGTAATTGCGATTTCGAATTATATTTTTTCAAATTTCTCGCCCACCCTGTATTATATACGAAAACTGAAACTCTCTCTCGACACAGTTTCCAATACACTTCAAATCAAATTATCCCGTCTCCAACAGTTTTTCATTTATCGCCAATAATTTACCCAAAATAACGGAAATTTTTAGGATCTTTCAGATTCTTTACCCATAAACGACACACCCTGTATATAATTCAAACAATGTTCGACATAGAGGTTATAGCCCTGTATCTCCCACGTTTCCTGGTATATGAATTTTTCAAATAGAATAAGTGGTTTACGGGAAGATAGTTGTTGGCCATTTCCATTTGAATTTTTTCAAATATCTCGAACAGCGTATCTGAAAACCGTAAATACATAAATTGTAGCTCTCGATGTTTTCTATAACACTGTTTAACCATTGTTTAAACCAATTAGACCTATTTTTTACGAATTTTGATTTACGATTAATAATTTATTCCCGAAAAGTACAATTAAGAAATCCTTTTTATAATCCAAAAATTGCTTGAAATAAAAATCATAGTCTATCGATTTTGCCGATCGGTTAAATAGTTTTTGAGAAAATCATGTTTTTCTGGAAGCCAAAATAATCAATGAAAAATTTTCAAAAATTTTTAAAAAGCATTTGATATACTTGATTACGCTCACTACTGTTTAGATGGGGTTCGGACTTTTACTTCCTTGCGATTTGAGTCACGTTTTTGAAGATATCACGCAATATCCTGAACACCCTGTACAATATGTGAAAATTTTAAACAAAAAAGTTTTAGCCGTCCATACGGACTTTACAGCCATGTGAAAAAAAAACTGACAACAGGATCACAATCTTCTAGTTCTTCTTCTAGATCTTAACCTGTCTTTATCTATCTGTATCTATGCAAGCAGTTCAGTTTCTGTCCTTGCTAAGTTCACTTGTATGACTTACTAGTTAATACTAAGTGAAAAATACTGTCCCTATTCAATTTACACATTATATTAAAGACATTTTTGGATTTTTGCATTTGTTGATATGTCATCAAAACGTAAGCTTTGTCTGTTGATCAAAAATTCAAGGGTATAAAAGAAGTGGAAAGTGGCTCAAAAAATAAATATGTAGCTGTGAAATATGGAATTTCGGCAAGTACAGTGTCTACAATTTTGAAAAATAAACATTCAGTCATCACCGCAATGGAACGTTTCGACGAAAACAAAAACAATAACATTACACTAATATTTTGTGTTGACGACGTAACTACCGCATGGAATATCGACGTTAAGCATCAAACAATTTCCAATTGTTTCAAAAAAGCCGGTTTTGGTCAGTATTCTGAATGGGAAGAAGATGAGATTCCCTTGACTTTCCTAAGTGAGCGCCTGAAAGAAAAGAGTGAAGACGAAATCCAAATAGAAATAGAGTTTTAAGCTTGGACAAACATTAGAGGTATAGCAGCATCAACGATTTTATACATATGGATGAGGATATTGTTACTTCAGAGTTTCCTACTGATGAAGATATTATCGAGTCCTGCAGATCCGAACCGGTACAGTTAAACATCGAAGACGACTGCGAAAGTGACACGATGGAGAAGGAATTGGAAGATGATTCTCAGCAACCACCTTCAAATGAATTCGTTGATTGTCTTGCGTTCCTATTTGAAAATAAGTGAATACACAACCGATTCCCTCTATGATTGTTTAAATAAAATTGAAGCTCTTGTTGAAAACCAAAATAAGAAATCCGGTCGTCAGTCACAAATAACTTTTTCCAGTAAAAGAGTAAACTTTAATATGTACAAACATATGTATGTATATGTGCATACACACTATGTACATTTCGGATTCTATCTCTAATTGTTATACCTAGGACTTCATCTCCATGCTTTGAATCCTATTTTTTGCCTTTTGGGTCAGTACGCAGCTTTCACATCCAAATGGTAAAATTGCTATGAATATTGTTTTGTATATTGTTATTTCGATTTTAGTTGATATTTCCCTGTTTCCTATGAAGCTTGATTTTAAAGTGTGAAATAGTCTTGAGGCACTCTCGATTCTCGCATTTAGTTCTGCTTGGTGATACCCGTTGCTACTTAGTTGTGCACTCAGGTATTTAAAAATGTAAACTTGCTCTATTCGCTTCTATTCGATGTTCACAATTCCATTTGTTTTGAAAGTAATCATAATTTTCGTTTTTTCTTCGTTGTTTTTAAGGTTTTTCTCATTTAGCCTGTTGTTCCAGATTTCCAGGTTCTTCTTAAGTTCCCTTTCATTTCTAGCTAATACAACCTCATCATCTGCAAACGCACATCCGCGTATCCAAACTGGTTCCAGATCTTTATATCCTACTAAGAAACCGGATGACTGGTCCTTGTTTTTTTTATTACATTTTCCATAACTAAAGTTAAATAGTACCGGACTCAAAACGCTTCCCTGCCTAACGCCCTCGTTTACTGTAAAGTATGCTGATTGCATGTTGCCGGTTCTGACGCAATTTTTGCTGTTCTTATATGTGGACATTATGGCTGAAATTAGTCTTCCTCTATCAAACTCCGCCTCACCGCATATTGAGATGGGACCGGGACATTGACAATGTCTGCAATAAACTAAATAAAACCTTCAAGATTCATTTCTTGAGAAGGCACTAATAGCTTTTTACTACGCGTCAGCTTACTCTTCCATTTCACACAATATTGTCAACTGGGGACAAGCGAATGATGCTGAGAGAGTGTTTATACAGCAAAAAAGAATACTTAGGCTGATTTTTAAACTTCTTCCGAGGCAATCATGCAAAGAGACATTTCAACAGCTCAAAATATTAACAATGCCTTGTATTTACCTATTTAAAATACTTCTGATCACACATAAAAATAAATATTCACATAGGACGCATACTGATATCCACAGTTACAATACTCGCAATAGAGAACATCTGCTGAAGCCAAAACTCAACCATATGTTTTATAAAAAATCACTAAGTTACGCGGGACCATATTATTATAATTTGCTGTCTCCAAGCTTAAAAAATTTATCTATAAATCAATTTAAAAAACACATCAAGAGGTTCCTGTCGGCCAATGCTTTCTACAGCCTGAAAGAATTTGAAGCGTACCTATTTTGGAAGTTTGTCAAAAGCTTTCTCTAGGTCTAGGAAAGCTAGATAGTATCTTTTGTATAATTTGCTAGATAATGAAGATGTGATCGTGCATGCTTCTTCCCTTCCTGAATTCGCTTTGAGATTGCTCTAGTTGTTGTTCCAGAAAGTTTTTCTTGTAAGACTCGCTCATTTACTTTCGATGGTATGCTCAAAATTTAAACTTCCGAAAAACGTTCCCACAAAATGATGACGTGATCGAGGTCCGCGTTTTCTTATCTCGGGTTTGGACGCCCGACACGTATCAACGATCCGAAAGTATAACAGACGAAATCAAACACGGGCGTCGGATTACGCGTATTCCCCGGCATCCGCAAAACCAAAAATCCTTTCGCGTAGCGCATAGTCAGCAAGAGCAAGGGACAGACAACGGCGGCAGCGGTGGCCGTTGGGAGAGGGGGGTGGGGGGGTACTGAACATTCTGACTGACTGACGCGAGGCCTTTGGCGAGTCTGAGGCCGCGCCGGATCAGACAGCCAGACCGACAGACAAATTATCGGGTTATCACACAATTCGCCCGATTACGTCCGTGACTATTAAAATGATTTCGCGTTATTGCCGTTCCTATATTTCACGCGTCTCTTAACCTATACAGGATGAGTCAATGATAAAGTTCATTATTTCAAAAGTTATATGAGAAAATTGTAATCATAAAAGTCGTAAAGATGCAATATAAAATTATTTTCAAGTAAGAAAACTTGAACTTTTTTTATTAATAGTATAATATTATACATAGGGGTGAGGGGGGCAGTTTGGGACAGAGGCCGTTTTGAATTATTGGCTTTACGAACGCATCATTTGTCTTTCCTAACCTCCAAACCGAAAACGTAAGTATTATTTTCGAGTTTTGACTATGTCATAGTGTTGTGTATATTATAGCAAGTGTATTACCAATATAGGTTAATTAAATACAATTTTTTTGGTGGTCTACATAATTTTGTTTCTGAAGGATGGTATTGGCGCAGATTTGAAAAAAATCTGTTGGGCAGTTATGAATAAAATGTTCAAAAGTGCCCCTATTTGAACAAATGATGTTTATTTATTTTTTTAAAATAATTGATAAATAAAAAAAAAACAGTTTTAAAAACGTGATTAAATACGTTCTTCGTACATTTTCATAATCGCTGTTCTCACTTTATGTCGAAGATCGTTTAACACCATTCGGTGAACTTTAGCAATATTACCGTCGGCATTTACAGTTTTTGGACGGAGGGTTCATCAACTCCTAAGCTCTTACGGACACGTTGAAATGAAGCTGCCCAAAATATCACTGGCGTGGTGCAGAGTCCCCAGACGCACAATCAAACTCTTTAATTTGCGTAAGCGTATTGCATTTCAAAAACAAATATTTAGGAGATTTTTCCATTTTCACATCGACTCACTCAAAAAACTATCAACTAAAAAAATCTCGCTTCCAAAATGGCTGAACCTTTGGTACGTAACTATCGGGAGGTGCGCAACTACGATCATTAGCTTTTAGTAACTAGTGCCGCCATCGTCAGGATGTGATCGGAAACTTTTCCTATTATTATTATTATTATTATTAATGAATAAGTTAAAGCCTTTGATGTATTTTAAATCTACCTACAATCTTCACAACTTTTCGATTTCTAAGTTATGAGAAAATGTTTTTTTTTATTCATCACGCATTTTTGAACTACCCTGTATACTTTTAAATAATTTTAAATTGTGCATCCTAACAATCTTAACAACTTTTGTATTTATCATTTTCTCACAACAATTAGATAATGAACTCTATCGTTGACTCACCCGGTATACGGGCTTGGTCGTTATACGCGCTTCGTGTCGGCAAAGATCAATCGGTTACGTTTTAACGGTCGTTAAATTTGCACCTACTGGCACAGATTACCGTGTAAATATGCAGGGTTGCCTGCGAGGTTTACAAAATGACCGCAGAGGTCGCTTTATCAATTCTACCCTTATTCTTTGACAGTTTTATCAAATTGGCCATTTCAAAAAATCATACTTCCAATTTATCTGGACTACATTTCGGTTGGTTTTAACTTTTTTGTTTTTAACGATATCACTTTAAATAAAAAAGTGAAATGGACAGTTGGCACCCATTAAAAAAAAAAACGCTAACAATTTGCTGAAATAGCAGCCTGTTTGATATATTCTTAAACGGAACACCCTGAATATTTAAATCAGTATTCAATGATACTGTATATAGGAAATTTTTGTATCAATGCCAGTGAGTGCTGGCTATCGCTAAGAATTATCAATTAACGCTGATAAGTTACTGACACACTTATTGCAATTATTGTGCAAGTGGTATTTCGCCAATTTTGCATCCGTGATAGAAGCACAGATTTTTAAGACTTCCAAAGAAATTTTGAGAAACCACTATCAATTAATAATATCGCTCTTTGAAGTATATTTGGTTTCCTCTATTGTCCAGATGACCGGTATTTCTGCATGGTTTTCTGAAATCATGCAGTATGTGGTAATAGTAAATGACGTCATCGCGTCAGGATTGAGGGCGAACAGCGTATGGGATAGACGAAAACCGTAAATCCAAAAATTGTAGCCCTTGATACTGTCTATAACACTGTTTGAACGGATTAGCTATTTTTTAATAATTTACTCTCTAAAAGAGTCTTTTACATTTTTGTCCATAACTAAAACACCTTGTATATAATCGAAAAAATGCGTGAAACAAAAGTTATAGTGCCGGGTCTCCCACGTATTACGGTTATAAAAATTTTCCGATCGGATGACTGGTTTTGGAGGAAATGATGTTGTTCTGGATGCCAAAATAACCAAAAAAAAATTCAAAAATTAAAAATTATTGCTCCCAGTATAAACAGTCTAAATGCAGGTCCAGACATCTATTTCTCTCCCAAGTCTGAAGTCGGTAGCTGCAAATTTAGGGCACTTATTTTGTTTTTCAATATTGCACGGAATATCGCTAACACCCTGTACAATACTTAAAAACCTTAAACACAAAAGTTTTAGCTGTCTATATGGGCAATATCGTCATGTAAAAGAAACTGACATCTAAAAAACAGATTTTGAATTATTGGCAATTTTCAATAATAGGGGGACCCATTTATCAGTTTTTTTGAATTTGAAAATTATCAAGAATAAAGGTTTATGGAGCTGTATCCTCTGCGTCTTCTGGTTTAAGAATTTTTTCGGTCTTACAAACGGTTTTTTAAAAATGATCTTTTTTGTAGACCCTTGCACACGCGATTTTTATTTTTTTTAAAATACTTCCCGACCCCCCAGCCCCCCCATTTTAAATAGCTTCCATCACAGGGCAAAACTGCATATGTGTGCCAAATATGAAGTCGGTTGCTTGAAATTTCGGACACTTGTCGTGTTTCATAGTAATGTTCAAAAAACAGGCCATTTCATACAAGCTTATGTATTTTTGCAGCTCTAACGCTTCGAAAGTTATTCAGAAAAAACCAAAAGACGAGAACGGAGAACAGACAAACAGGCAAAAAAAAAATTTGTTTTTCGACGCTGATCATTTCTGTACCAACGGAGATCCCATAGGACCTACCGTTACCGGAATATAAAAATTTTTTACTAACTTAGATACTTTCGAAAAATTCGATTTTTTAACAAGAGATAGCATCAGGACCTACCGACTTATTATTACAGACCAAAAAAAATCAAAAATTTCATGTGAGCTTTTAAAGTGATCTAAATTATCTTTGTTTTTTAAATATCTATTATTATTTGTGCCATAATGGGTGTTAACACTGTTGGTCAATAAAATGAAATTTATGTATTTATTTATTATTTATTATTAAATTAAAAATATATTATAATTGGGAAAACCAGAAAAAAAGCGTAAAACGTCGTTGGTTGGGACGACTTTTCAATGCGGTTCACGCACGTCCGGCACGTAATAATAATTTAAAATAATCAGAGACCGTAAAGTGTTGTTCGCCATTTAAGCCGGCATTGTCGCCGCACCGCGACGTTTATAAATTGCAGGCGCCAGGCGTCTGTCGCGCCTTTTTGTTAGAAATGGGATTTGCGCGGAATATTTTCGCTATTTCGCTTACCGGGCGTCTTAAAATAATACGCACGCATGGCAATGACAAAGGGGGGTGGGGGGAGTGTTGTTGGAAATATTTTCGACGCCTTTTAATTTGCCAAGCGAGGGTATAATTTTATTTTTATTTCTTTATAACTAACTTGTGTTAAACACTGGTACCGGAGCCTTAAATTACATTCAAAATAAAAATTTTAAAAATAGTCCCTGCAACTATACTTTTCATTCCTGACAAAATGGCTTTACTGAGTTATAAGTTATAGTTAAAAGTAATAGAGTTATAGGTCTGAATACAGCTATAAAATGGCGATCTTTGTACTTTAAGAGTTTTTGAAAAATTAACTCTTAGGTCTACGCGTATTATGATTATGTAGTTCTTTCATTTGCTTTATATCTAAGTTACTTACCTAAGTGAGACGGTTTATTTTAAATATGGTTTCTATTGCTTTGTTTTGAGTTCTCTGTAATTTATTTTGTAGATAGTTGGGAAGACAAAGGCTTTTGAAATTGACTTACTCTTTGAATTTTCTAAAATCAGTTGCTAGTGAGAAACAGCAATTTGTTCATGAGTATTCCAGCCTGATCAGCATTTCCCGAAAGAGTTTTTGATATAGCAAATTTAAAGTGAAATGACGATATAAACGATAGTTGTTCAAAATTTTATGAACCTATTAAAAACGTGATGCAAAAAACAAGAAAAATACAAATTTAGAAAAGTACCCGAGAAATGATTGTACCTTTATGATAAATAGATTATTTAAATTAAATTATACTTAAAGCTTTTTTTTAACTCAAACCTTAAAGGTATCGTATAGTGTCGGTAGTATATAATTTAGCTGTTAAATATTCACAATTTCTCTAACTAACAGCTCAAATGGTACTGCATTGCATGTTTCTTTATGCCTAATGTTAATTGAATGTTATTTTACCTTCATTAATATTAGACTGTGTACACAAAGACCATGTAATTGTTATATGTCGAGAACTTGAACACCCTTCAAATGATTAATCCGAAGGATATTTTCGATTTTTGTCATTCATTGCCTTGAGCATCCATTTTTGTGCCGTACGTAAATGTTCTTAATAACACAAACTAGGGGTGTGTTTTAGAGAGAAACTCACGAAGATTATTCCCCAATAACAATATCTATCAACACTCATTTTAAGCGGTCAATTCATAGCGTTCCCTGCGAAACTTCAGCACGCGGTAATAATGAAGATTGCTTTTACTCAGCCTACAGAATAATGACCATACGACCGAGGATTTTTCGGTGCAATCCACGTAAAATCAAATTTTTGGGACACCCCATAGGCGATACTCTAAACGTGATTAACAATCGCGGAAAAATACATAAAAAAAAACTGGGATAATAAATTATGTTACGTAGGTGGTCAAGTGACCAGTTCGCACTGTTAACAAATAAATTTACATTATTAAGCGGATGCTGTGCACTTTTGTATATTTATCGCTTTAATTTTTCATTCATTTCAGCGTTAAAAACAACGCAAACGTTAGCGATATATCTGCATACATTGTATTATTCCTGTCGACGGGAAAAACTATATTTTTAAGTGATATAATGCTGTTAAATGTAGGTAAGCGTTCTTAAGGAATGATTTACTAGATGTTTTAAAGACTTAATAGAGATAAATTATAAATTGCATTGTGTAATTTACGAAATAATGTAAGAAAATAAAAAATGGCGTGTTTAAAAATGGTCTAAAAAATAATTAACTAAAGAATTCCTTTGCTTTAAAATATTTTTTTTTTGGAGTATTTTTCAATATTTTATTATTTATTATATATTTTATATATAATATTTTGTAATTTCTTACAACAAACTTTATCCTAGAATTTGTAAAAAGTCCATAATATCAAAACCGAAAGCGTTTGGCGCCTAATCACACCTGGAGAATTTTATAATATTAATATTATACTTATTCTTACAAATATCAAATCCCATAAATGGAATAATGGTTAAAATAAAATCAACACAGCGACTAGCTTAGTGACAAACATAATACGCAGCATATTGAAATTATATTAAAAGCGCAAATAACAGTTATTAATTTATTATTATTTATTTTAACTTCCAAAGGAAACAAAAAACAGAAAAGGGTGCGGAAAGACTTTGTAAGAATTTAATACTATTCATTATTTATTTAGTTGAATAAGGTGAATTTCTAATTTTTTTTAACTTAAGAATAAATTTCTGAAGAACAAGAATATTTGTTTTAGTAAAATTTTTTACTTAAGTGAACAGTGTTTGATTTGACTTAAGTAACAAATTCTTGGATTTTTTCCGACTTAAGTCAGAAAGTTTTACTTGTTTTTTAGAATTTCTGAAAGAAGTCGGAAAATCTGACATATATTTCAAAACTTGTGACTTATTTTCATAATTCGGAAAACAATTTAAAATTTTTCACTTAAGTTGCTAACTAACTAAGAATTTTTGATTTTAGTCAAAAATGCCGACTTGTTCTTCAGAAATTTTGACTTAAGTTAGACTCGTCTTATTGAATTTAGAAATTCGGGCCAAATTCAACAAATTCTTGGATATTTTTCCGACTTAAGTCAGAAAGTTTTACTTGTTTTTTAGAATTTCTGAAAGAAGTCGGAAAATCTGACATACATTTCAAAACTTGTGACTTATTTTTTATAATTCTGAAAACAATTTAAAAATTTTTCACTTAAGTTGCTAACTAAGAATTTTTGATTTTAGTCAAAAATGCCGACTTGTTCTTCAGAAATTTTGACTTAGGTTAGACTCGTCTTATTGAATTTAGAAATTCGGGCCAAATTCAACAAATTCTTGGATATTTTTCCGACTTAAGTCAGAAAGTTTTACTTGATTTTTAGAATTTCTGAAAGAAGTCGGAAAATCTGACATACATTTCAAAACTTGTGACTTATTTTTCATAATTCTGAAAACAATTTAAAATTTTTCACTTAAGTTGCTAACTAAGAATTTTTGATTTTAGTCAAAAATGCCGACTTGTTCTTCAGAAATTTTGACTTAGGTTAGACTCGTCTTATTGAATTTAGAAATTCGGGCCAAATTCAACAAATTCTTGGATATTTTTCCGACTTAAGTCAGAAAGTTTTACTTGATTTTTAGAATTTCTGAAAGAAGTCGGAAAATCTGACATACATTTCAAAACTTGTGACTTATTTTTCATAATTCTGAAAACAATTTAAAATTTTTCACTTAAGTTGCTAACTAACTAAGAATTTTTGATTTTAGTCAAAAATGCCGACTTGTTCTTCAGAAATTTTGACTTAAGTTAGACTCGTCTTATTGAATTTAGAAATTCGGGCCTTATTTATTTAAAATTCTTACCGGTTTTTCAAAAAAACTAATACATATATTTTATTTTTGGTGACCTTTTCGCGCTGCGTGTATATGTTTTATATATATATATATATATATATATATATATATATATATATATATATATATATATATATATATATATATATATATATATATATATATATATATATATATATATATATATATATATATATATATATATATAAACTTTCCTCTCAATCTTAAGACACACAATTTTCTATTAATTTCAAGAACCATTTCGGCGTTACGCAACAAAACTCCTTATCCGCAAATAAATTGACAATAATTGTTAAAGAAAACCGATATCGGCAAATCTGCGTTACGTATTAAACCGATGGAGACGTTCCCAGCGAAATGGACGTCCGTAAAATCCGGTATACGATAATTAAAACGGCTTATTGCGTTTTCTATCGAAATCGTAAATAAGAACTTTACAGGTCGAAACCCGATTTTATCATTAAACGACGATAAAAATTAATTTTTACGACGATATGGCGTTTGAAACGAAGTTTATCGCTTTTCACCATTGATCGAATATCTTCATCCATTTTTTTAAAGCGTAGTAAGCGCAGTGGCGTACTTCAGAAAATATTATTATTTCTAACGTTTACACCATCATCTAAGATAATTTCGAGATACTTTTTGGAGTGTTGTAGCGTAGTATTTCGCCAAAAAAAAGGAATTGCTGCACCCAAGTCTCTCCTATCGTTAGTTTTGGTGAGGTCAAAAACTAGTAAATTGAAAAGTGAAGATGAAGTTGCCAGAGAACGATTGTCTAACAATAACAACAATTAATACTATTTGAAAATTTTCTGCTTCGATTTTTGTGCTCAACCGTTTCAATAGGATTCCAGAAAATTTGCGTTGATCATTCCTAAGAGAAAATTCTAACGTATATAACGGCGGATCGGCGGTGATCCAGTTCCATTACTCTATTGTCCCACGGATCCAAGCTGCTTCGGACATTTCCAGGATATTACCGCAATCCGACGTTTTCCGATATTTTGTTTGAAACACGTTGAACTATCACACTTTTCATTGGTAGAAGAACTGATTACATGCAAGAATTTTAGTTTAATCGAATAAAATTTTATGTCCGGTTTCATGAGTGTGTTCGGTAACGGCTGATGTGGTTATTTGTCTTAGTCGTAAGGCTCTTTCGTGTTCTTTGAGCTTAGCTGATATTTTTCGTCCGGTCTCTCCATTGGATTCTTTGCCGCATATGCATGGAATGCTGTAAACTCCTGGCATCTCAAATGGAATGTTGTCTTTGACGGACCGAAGATGTTGAGAGATTTTTGGACAAGTGGCAAATCTGGTTTTGACGTTATACTTCTTTAGAACTTTTGATATGTGGTCAGTGACCTTTTGAATGTAAGGAGGAACCGCAGTGTAGGATCGTTTTCGGCCTCATTGCTATCGGGAAGTTGTGGTAAAGTGTATTTTTTGATGGAACGCTTAATATGTTTAATGTCAGTGACTCAGGCTGGAGAGTTGCATTAAGATGTCGGTCTGCTATTATTAGTTTCCAACTCAATGGTGAAACGTATGTTAGGGTGTATAGAGGTTAAATGCTTAAAAAAATCTACTAGGGTTTCTTGACCATGAGGCCAAATAACAAAAGTATCATCGACGTAGCGTTTCCATAATTTTGGTTTTAGATGAAAGGTGCCGAGAGCTTTCTTCTCAAAGGCTTCCACAAATGTATTCGCGATCACTGGTGATAGTGGAGAATAGCTGTTCCCGACGGTTGTTCAAGAATATTATTGTTATTATTATTATTATTATTATTATTATTATTATTATTATTATTTTAATTAAAACAATGCTAAAAAATTTCTGATGCGCTGCAGTTTTGTCTAGGTATCAAACAACGTTGTCACTCTTTGTGTTTATGTTAAAGATTGAATGCAACTTATAAGGCAAAATTCTATTAGTCGTCGTTAAAAATTTGTTAATAGAGTCATTTAAAAGTGAAATTTCTATGGAAAACCTTTGACCGGTTGAATGATCACGCATCGTTTTCAATGCCGCGTTCGAAACCGTATATGTTTAAGATTTCATCCACGTTACGGCGACAGTTTACGTCTAAGTTGACCTCCGACCCTCGCTATTGTGCGGGTGGTCCCCGTAATGGCATAATAGCTATCTTCAGATGCGGAAGAAGAAGAACCCCTATCATCGGCACGCGGTTCCACGTTTAGCCTTCGGCCTTCTATGGTCGACGACGTTATATTTATCCGACGAGCCCTTATTCGGTCCGTTCCGACCTCAAATCGCAAATAGTTTCGAAATAATTTACTTAATAATACTTTTTTTTTTTAAATTTCCTTTGAACAAAATTTGTTTCAATAAATTAATTCTTGCTTGCAATTGATAAGCGCATTTATTTGACTTATTTTACATTACTTATTTTTTGCGACTACGGGATCTTTATTATTATTATTATTATTGCAAAAAATAAAGTGTAGAGGAGAACCATAAGAATGTTATATAAATTATAAATATTTACTTATTGCTGTGAAACAATACACTGTCCAAGCGACATCTGGGGGTAAACTGTTCCAATAATCGAAAGTCTGCTACTTATAAAATGCAGGCGATGTGAAGTCCTGAATTGTTCCTTTCTTATTTTAAATGGATGACCGCAAGGGGCATGTCAGATGGAAATGCGCAAACCTATGCATTTGAGGTAAATCATATCCACCGGATGACCTGAGTCAAGAGATAATATCCAGTAATTCAAGCATGCCAATGTATTTGATATGATTGATCTAATATGGCAATCGATCAAAAACGGTAACAGCTGATTTACTATAAGGCGTTCGAGAAATTTACATACAATACACCCTAGGCTGATAGGGCGGTAATTTGAAACATCGCGCTTATCACCTTTTTTATAAATCGGTGTTACATTTGCGGATAACCAGTGGGTGGGGAGTGTGGCCGGGTCCAAAGAATTTCTCAAAATAATATAAATCTTAAATAAATATTAGTAGCAAATATTATGGAAGTGGGAATATTATCGATTAAATGTTTCAGCCCAAGTACTTAAGTAAAACCTTAAATTTTTGGAGGTAGTCTTTTAAATATAATATGAATTATGCAGAAGAATGTGAATTGACTCAATTTCACACCCTTGCCTTTTTTCATCGAAGTAGAAGCTCTACCTACTTGTTCGCATTATTCAAGCAAAAATGTATATAATCTAAATTAATGGTACTTTATTCAAATAATCAT